AAACAGCAGAGAACTTCACCATTTCAGAACTTGACCATCACAACAACAAAAAACCCAACTGTAATCTGCACAATGCATTTTAAAGATATCAATATGAAGCCTTTTACTGTTATATAACACATAAAGTAAAATCTGACACCAGCCTCATCCGCACCACAGAAGCTCCAACAAGCAGTCGAGTGCATCTGCAGCACTTCACTCTCAAAAAGCAATAGCTTTCAAAGCACTGAGGACAGTAAATGTATTTATTGAGCTGTGTCGCAGGCTCCATTTGCGGGTGTTACATGTGAGGTACCATTGTGAAACCTTTCACCACCTGTGAGAGATGATCTCAAGCCATAACTCATATTCTGGAAGCCCATCAGCTTCTAAAGCAGCGGAAAATCCAGCTCTGTCTTCTTTAACCCCAGCTTTAAGAGCCGCCAGTGTTTCACTGTTGATCAAGCCCAGTAAGAATGCCGAGAATGCAGATACCATTTCACAGTCAGTGAGGGTCTCCATGTTACTGTATCCCCACATTATAAGAACAGAGCTTACCATGGCATCTTATTGGAGAAACGAGCGGTCCCACAACAGCAGACACTTGGACAAGTCAAGCAGAAAGAAAACAGCAGCCTGCTCACTTCTTGGAAACTCACAAAGTGCCCGCTGACGGTCTTCAGTAAAACTCAGAGTGAGCAAGGTGGAGTCCAGATCTACCAGCAGATTGATACAAAAAAAAAAAAAGAAGGTGTGTTAGGTTGCTCACTTGCTCTCTGGTTTTCTCGGCTGGACAGGAACTGCAAGTCTCTCAGAGAGGACGCCGGTTCCATTCATCGGCTCACGTTTCTATAATCAATGCAAAAACATCACGCAATCCCTATTGATCATCACAGGCCTATTGATGTGCAGCAATAGTGCCTGCCTCCACAGCGGCACAGATCACACAGCATCTGCTCTCTTTTTGTGACAAATGCAAATGACTAAATAAATAAAATCCAATGAAGATTGATGCCAAATCAGCACCTGTCAGTTTAATTCCTTAACAAGAGCTAAAACCACCAACAAACACAATTCTCAGACCTTGGTTATACAGTACACGGTATGCAATGCAAAAGAGAATATAATGGATATCTGTACACCTCAGTGCATTAACAAGATGCAAAACATTCTGAATGTTTCACCCCCATTATTAACCAGAATTTAAATTCATTTTAACTAAGAGTTACAGCCACTTATTCCAGTTTTCAGCTCATTAAGGATGTAAACATCATTTGATTTTTTCAAAGTTCAAAAATCATCACGTGTCAAATCATTGCAAAAAACACACCACATATGCTGCAAGTTCAAATGGCTGACAGCATAAGTCTAGAGCCTTAGATACTAGGACTCGTAGACTGCAATATTACATCTGATATCTAGCCAGTGTACTGTCTTTTACATTGATAAGTACCTTCACTTGATAAATCACATTCCTGCATTTTCCTTTGGCCTCTCAAGGCTTCCACTGACACCACACAGACTTTTGTCATGCAGTATGAGCTATGAGAGCCCTGCTGCTTCTATCTTTGTTTCTTATCAGCTCTGTTATGAAAAAAAAAAATCACGACAGGTGACAGCTGATTTGACATGCAGGGATCAGATACAAATAAAGAATTGAGCTGCACAAGGCATACTCTCAATCACACATGGCATGACACAGTTAGAGGAGTATGACAACTAAGAGAAGCACTGTTTGATTGTTGACATGTTCTTTTTTTAATCAGGGTAATAATCGTGGATGTTTGTTTTTTTTAATGAAATAAGACCTGCATTTTTTTTGTTATGTGTTTGATGCTTAATATGTTGGGGGGAGGGTTGTATTACAGAAACATTTACAGTAAATTAACCTGTCAAATGAAACAACTGTGCAAGATTAAAGGCTCTTTAACACGAAGTTAATTAAAACAGAATGGTCAACTTATGTGGTTTAAATTATGTTTGGTTAAGAAGTAAATCGTCTTTTTCATGAAATGATACTGCTTTAATTTTCTTTCTTTAAAGGACAGTTAGAATTAAACAACACCAATCAATGTTTACGTGTGAATCTAGTTCATGGCCTTTGAACAACAATGCAAATGAGACTGCTGATATTGCTTTAATCTAACATGATACATTTGTACATAATGTCTGATGTAGGGTATTTCTGATGCAGCTATTTCAAGGGACATTCATGTTATTTGTTTACTTAAAAAAAAAAAATAGAGTAGACTTTCAGCATTGTTACTTGTGTTGAAATTCTCAAAATTCAACTCGGAATATATAATGAAATAAACATACAGCGAGGCATTTTAAAGTCGACATATTTAACCATTTCGTGCATCGAGAAATGGTCAAATCGATGCGTAATTCAGTCACAAATCCCAGAGGAAAAGGTTCAGTGCAGCAAGTCCGCGTGCACTGTACATGCCTCAATTACAGTTAAGCCGCGTGCACACTTGATGTCATTTACAGTAGCTAGCCACAGGTGCGTCGAAAGTTCATTTGACATATCATTAAAAGTTGAAAAAAAAAAAAAAAAGTTAGCGTAACATTGTGTCCCGAATGTGAAAGATAAACTCAGGCAAAGGAGTGTATAGTGTACCTTACTCGGACACGTCATGTCACATCCAGGGCTGAGCAGCACAGCGCACAGTCGCGCCGTTGTGGCTCCAGGTTGTGGTGGTGCGGCTGCTGCTGCTGTGGCTCTATGTGTCTGAGCGCGCCGTTTAACTGTCACACACACACACACACACACACACACACACACACACACACACACACACACACACACACACACACACACACGGGGCAGCCACAATATCAACTCCTCCTCCAAACACCTCCACCGGCAGCAGGACCCGGGTGAGCGAGGTCAAATGGGATTCAAGTCTGTTGAGAGGGAAAAAAATAAGTTACGTTAACTCCTTTTAGTTTTGTCAGAATAGACTGCTTCAATTGGTGCCTAGGCCTGTTTATTAGTCGACAGTTTATTTGTTTTTCACTGCTCCTTGAATTTCTACAAGCACCAACACTGACGGCAGTCACTCAGTGTCATTCTTGTCCTTCTGCAGTGCCTCTCTTTGCCCTCATATCCGAGTTTTAGCAGACACCGTAATTTGGTTTGTCCTGCTCACAAACCCCCCGAGGTAATCTAGGTATATTTTCACCTGAGTAATCGACAGGTGACAATAACAGTGAAAGGTTGAACATCTCTGCAGTCGACTGGTTTCCTCTACTCATGAATAAATATAAGGACAATAGGAGTTTTGCGTCTGTTGCAGAGAACACAACCGTAAACGCTACCTGTCAGGACCTTCACACACTGATTTAATTTCAGCCACTATCCAAATTTGTATCAACCATTTTTCATTTGCTTGGTGTTGTGTTTTGAAGGTGAAATACATTCAATCATACAATCATTGAACTTTTGATAAATGCAAGTGTTTAATTACTTGTCCCCTATTATGATCCACCAAAATTAGGTGTAGACATCACATATCAACACATACACATATTTGTAAAAACTAATTTACAACATATGTTCTCAAAATAAACCTTAGCGACAACAATTCGAGCCATTTCACTAAGAAAATGACAAAATATATGTATTTATATATATATATTATATATTGTCTGTTCAATTGCATCTCGGGGAATGTTTGCCTGCACACAACACTGACTGACTTAGCTGAGGAACAGAGCACTAAACCAAACTCTAACATCTCCACTAGAGGGAGTGCTCTCTCACAACAAGGCCACCATAGAGCTGCAGCAGAGGTAATTTTTTTTATTTATTTTCCCGGGTTGATAGTGTAATTCATAAACTGAATGAATGACAGTCCGGACAGTGCCAACAACCAGGCACACAATGGAGACTCACTGCATTTACCACAGCACAAAAACCTATCCATTACAAACGTGTAATTATTGTCCTTAATAGATTAATTCATGCTGAAAGATAGAAATGGGTTCCAGGCTATTGATGTAATCATTTCACTGAGGAAATTAAGTGACATTAAAAGAATGATATTGTCACCATGAAAGTATCATTGATTCTTTTCGAATGCAATTAACTGTATTTGAAAGTGTGAGCTGCACAAGGAGCACCGAGGATCACTTCATTTGTGAGGGATATAAAGACCAAATTATCCCATCAAAGAGAAAATCTATAAATGTAATGGCAGAGTGCTTCAGCACTAAGGAAAGACAACAGCGGGCCTGTTCAGTTCCCTATGTTAGGAGTATTAACTACAGGTTAGCTGCTCTAAACAACCAACAGGAAGATTATCCAGACAGTGAGGAGAAGATCGCTACATTTATGATTTCACCTGCAGTTTTTTTATTGGCTAACATAAACAAATGTGTTTTAAAAGGAGCCATGAAATGTAGCTTTAATTACATTGAGACATTGCTAATAAGAACTATCATTGCAGATGAATAGAAGTGGGGTTTTTTTCAATTTTTTTACCTTATTTATCCGCAAGGGGAAGTTTGAGTTTACTATTTACACACATAGGCCCGAAATACAGACATGCACAAACATGTGACGATGCATTAATGGAGAGATGTCAGAGTGAGGGGGCTGCACACGTGGGCGCCCCTGACTGTTTGGGGGTTCCATGCCTTGCTCAGGGCACCTAGGCAGTACTCGAAGAAGTGAACTGGCACCTCTCCAGCTATACCAGACCAACTTCATACTTTGGTCCTCACCCGAACGTGAACTGGCCACCCTCCAGTTCCCAACCCAAAGTCCCTAGACTGAGTTTCTACCACCCCCATTTGATGAAGTTGCAGAGTATTTGCTTCATCTGAAGCTGAATGATCTGTAATTTATAAACTAATAAACCCCCCTCCTCATAAGGAATAAAGACAACACCTCAAAACCTTTTTTTCAGAAGAGGAAGAGCAGCTTTAGAGAAAATTATAATGTGAGGACAGCAAACAACAGTGTGATGCAGAAAGTGTAATCAATCAATCTTTAATTGTATAACACCCATTCATAACAAACGTTATCTCAAGACACTTTACAATAAGAGCAGGTCTAGACATTACTCTTTATACTATTAATTGCAAAGACCCAACATGAATCCACCATGAACACAGCACTAAGCAACACAGGCAGAAACCTCGAGCAGAAAAGACTCACGTTGAACAGCCATCCACAAAGTGAAATGGGGAGGTCTGATAATGTAAATTATAGCATTTCAAGTTGAGCAGCTCCTAAATAATTGTAATAGATGTACAGCTGATATTAATAGTTGTAGCAGTTGAAGGCAGGGGGTCCACAGCAGCGGACTATCCACACCTTAGGAACCTACGAGACAAGGAAGCACAGGAACTTGTCACGGCTTAAATAATATGTGAAGATTGAAAGTCAGTGACATGCAGTAATATGATATAAATGAACTCAAATAAAAGACAGAGAGAGCAGTTCAGTGTGCCAGGTCTCCTGCAGTCTAAGCCTATAGCAGCATAACTAACAGCTGGTCCATACCTGAACCAGCTCTTACTATAAGCTTTGTCACAAAGAAAAGTTTTAAACAAGTACAGAGGGTGTCTGCCTCCCTGACCCTGACTGCTAGAGGATTCCAAAAGAGTGGGGCCTGATAACAGAAGGCTCTACCTCCCATAGTACATTTAGAGACAGTAGGTATCACAGGCAGGCGTGCATGCTGGGAGTGTAATGTTCTAGAGGGACCAGCAGAACTTTGACCAGCTGAAGAGTCTTTACTAGGGCAGCCTTGTAAAAGAAAAGTAAGGTCAGCAAGTGTTTTTTTTTATCAACTGTTAAATGCCTTAGCGCTTCATATAAAGTAAAGATCCTTAAAAGAAAAACTAAAAGCTGATGGGGGGCTTTGACGTAAATTGCTTCTACTAGCTCAACTTGTTTAAAGGTTCTTAGCTTGTTTTCGGGGTTAGGATTCAGTTTACTGAGACAGGCAACACAGCAATGACAATAATGTAGCATTTTCACTACTTTCTTACATTTTAATGTCAATTAGCTGCATCCCATCTTGAGACTAATCTGAATGAATGCCTGTTTACATGCTAATATTCAAAAGTAAGTGCACTTACTTGTATTTGTCAATACAATATTACAGCCAATGACATATACTGATTTCAAAACTCAAATAAATGAACGAGTATTCTGACAAAATGCAATATAATGTTTTCTTTTGCTGACCTGAAAAGCCAGCATAACTCGGGCAGACAAGAGCAAATGTCTCTTACATTCTCTCCTGTCTGCTGCTGTACACCCACTGATACACATTTCTGTTTGTTTTTAACTTCAGAATTACATAAATGGAGGTATACATTTACTCTACTGGCATTTAGTAGTACCAGTTTAGTGTCTTTTTTTTTGTTGGCTTTCCATAGTTCTGTGGTGGGTTTGATGGATTCCAACCAAAGCATGTGCAGCCGTAACTGCTCCATGTGGCTCTTTAACCCAATTACAATGTTTGTAATCCAGTGAAGAGAAATTCAGTGAAGAGGCAGACTGAGCAAGAAAGACATGAAACATACAAGAAACAAGCACTGATATAATGTCAAAGCATCAGATGAACCAGGCATCAATCTCCAGACCTGGTCAGAAATGCTGCATAATTCAAAGCCAAACATTTCTCTTTGTGTGTTTCAAACCAAATCAGAGGGTCTGAAGCCTCTCTCCCTCTACCTGCTGTCAGCCTCTCTCCATCCCAGCCTCCCCTAAATTTCATTTAGGAGACATCTTTCTCCCTTTCCCCCTCTCTCTCATGCTCTCTACGTGGCCGTCTCTTCGCTCTCTTTGAATTCAGAGCACCGTAGCCCTTAGATTTACTTGCTTAACAAATATGGACAGGGGACCTAAGTGGTTTTTGAAATCTTTGAATGGACTTTGGAGTGCCTGTGCTGTGCTGGGTGACAACAGTCTCTATGACTCTCTCTCTCTCTCTCTCTCCCTCTGAACCATATATGTGTGTTTGAGAGACTGTGTGTGCTTTGTCCTGTTGTCTGCATGTTTATTTTTTATGTCTGTTTATGTGTGTGTGTGTGCACGCACGTCTATGGCTTCCCCACACTCTCCCTGACTCCCTGGCTGGGAGATGGCAGCGCTCGCTGGAGCGGCAGTCTGGAAATGAGATAAGGATGTCTGATTCATAGGATCTGACAGGAAATCTATACTCTGCAATGTTTATAATCCAGCCATTACTACACAGCCAAATGAAAGAACAATAATCCAATCATTTACTCCATATTTACCTGAGGCAGATTCTCGGCTTTAGAGGCAAAGTGCATTGCGTGGTGACGGAGGCTGTAAAACGGCTGGTACGTGTGAGGACGAGGGTGAGGAGGGTGTGGAGGGTGTTTGGGGGCAGATTCTGGCTCAGAGAGAGGAGGACTTTCAGGGGGATGAACTGTCCTCTGGGAAGATGTGTGTGCACAGAGACTGTACGCTTCACCTGTGAATGTATGTACAACAAGGTTAAAGGCCACTCATTACTCATCATTAAAACCCCATTGATTAATGAGTCACTTACAAAAACAGGAGTTGTGAAACACACAGTTAAAAGTCAGAAATAACATCTAAAAACTCCCAGAATTAGAAATAAATACTATGAGCAAAGCGCTTCTTCTATCCGAGAGTTTGAAGGAGACGTGTACACTGCTCTCGCACACTGATCCTCTGTCGCCCTTAACAGAGAAGTCCATAGAGCTAACGTCTCCCCATAAGCATAGAGGAATTCTCTGGTGGAGGGTTTACTTATCATAGAGTCTTTCATGGACAGTATGAGCTGCTCTTCATTGTGTATGAGGGGGGAGGTTTATCTTATTTGGAAAAAGTGAAGGGGGCCTGCCCTTATCTGTCAATAAACAGTAATTAGATTTTGTGGCCGATAGCGTCGATTGGTTTCTAATCTAGCTGTCGCCCTAGACTTGTGTAATTAAAATCCTGATTGATAAAGGGGCAGAAGCCCGCCCACGCCACCACTTTACCAGACCCTACCCCCCGACCCCTTCAAAACACAAACAAGAGGGAGATATGAAAGAAGGCCTGGGGAGAAAACTGCACTACCTATTGATCAACTCTATCTGCCTTCCTATCAGTGCCCTTTTCCCACAATGGAGGGGCCGGTACAAAGGTTTCCCACGTCAAACTTCATCGCTAATCTTCCCCAAGCAGATTTTTATCCTCCTTAAATAATAAAGACAAAACACAATGTTATTAAGGAAAACTGACAATTGGAAACTTGTGCTCAAAGCATCACAACATTTGCATGGTTTGCATCGGTTCTTGTGTCTACATTAAGAAATTAAAATATGCTTACCACTTATGAGGGAACGCTTTATGTAACTCCTGTGAAATCAAGGAAAATACACCCCTAAGGCGATAAAGAGACATTAAAGGGGCAGCCCATTTTTTTATCTTTTCAACTAATTGGCCTGTGAACACGAGAAAAAAGGTCCACACAAACACACATGCACGAGCACACACGCAGGGGAATGTCAAATCTGCATCATGCATTAGACAAATAAGGTAGTACCTTCAAGTTCCAGGACTCCCAGAGAGAGTAGCCAAGCTAATAGATGTTCAAACACATTGCCTGAAGACTTCACTGTCATCGTGGTCCGTGAAGCCAGATGAGCCAGGAAGAAAGGCGGTTTGAGTTCTAGAGACAAAGGACAAAAAAGAAAGTGAAATAGTGAGAACGGGGCAGGAAAAAAAGCATATCAGGCATCCAGCAGTGTGAGCTTGCATGTTTTGCCAGTGGATACCTCATCATGACCCACACCTCAGAGTGGTACCATGACAGCGTGAGAAGCAGATAATCTGGTTTATAGAGTCTGATTTTTGCCTGGTTGTCTGCTGGATTTTTTTAAGCTCTGCAAGCTGGGAGAGAGAGAGAGCAAACTACTGGCCGGTGACCTTTCCTGTCTGACACTGGTCACCTGCTGTCACATGTGAGGCCTGACCCACAGCGATGAATGATGGCTGAAAACTCTGTCACATACACACACACACACACACACACACACACACACTTTACCCAGCGTCAAGTGCATAAACCAGCTCTCCGTAACAGCACACCAATACTCCCAACACATCGAGAGTATAATAAATCATGAATTAGAAGTGTGTGTGTGTGTGTGTGTGTGTGTGTGTGTGTGTGTGTGGTGTGTGTGTGTGTGTGTGTTAATGTGAGAGTGAGAGAGAGTTTTAGAGGGGGGTGGACTTACTGGTCCAGCACTTAATTTGATTCTTAATGGAAGGCACAATTTCCAAAGGAAAACTTTCATTGGGCACAAAATGACTTTCCTTAGTTTCACTTTCTCACACTGTGGGGGAGAGTGAGATTGATAAATGCTGACAGTGCATTGCCTGAGCATGCATGGTGTACCTCATTTAACTGATTTCTTTAATTTCCCCTCTAAACAGTGAATAATAAATGGTTACCTAAACAAATGAGACTTAAAGTGAAAAATTACAGCTCTGAGAGCTTTTAAGCTTCTTGTTTAAAATACCTGGTGCATTGACTGTCTAATAAACATTTGAGAGAATAATGACTCATTATTTAAAAGGTATTATTTAAAGTGTATCAGGGACGCTTTTTCCTGAACCCCACACAAATCAAAAATTATGTTTCGTAATGAGTTGCTTCCTTGGGACAGGTGTATAGAAAACTCAGTAGATGCAATATAATATAGACTTTTATGAAATTATTTAAATATTGTAGCATGTCTTAAAAACAGTTATCTTAAAGGAGCAATATGTAAGCTATCTACCAAATTCAATCATAAAGTGACCTTACTATATCATCAGGCTTTAAGGAAACATGCTATTGTTGAAGTTGTTTGTTTTGACCAGTAAAGGTAGGCAGTTTTACAGCCACATGTCCGTTTTGGACACCCCTCCATTTCACAGATAAACAAACCAACAGGTGTTGCAGCGATCGCCAATGTTTTGATATTTGGTCACAGTACCAATTTAAACACTACGTGTCAGAGTTAAGTATTGCTCCTTTAATATTTCACAATAAAAGAGAAAGAGAACACTGAATGATTTGGAAAATAAAGTCTAACATAGTCAAGTTTGGGCTTCAGGTTTGGCCTGTAGGGAGCTGGTATAATGATGTGTTTTAGGTTCCCCTTCATGTTTTCTCTAAAGACACATAAACCCGAGTAAACATAATGATCAAATGATCCATTTAGATATTTCTTTATATTGATATATTTGCATTTGGCTCATGGTGTCTCGTGACCCTTTTTAATTGCATTCTTACCCTTGAAAACTTAAAACTGAAAGCTTCTGGGTATAAAAAACCTTGTCTTTTGTGAAATGTGATTGGACATCAGATCCTCCTTTAGATTCTTTCATAAGAAAATATTTTCTCCTGATAATAGGGCCAACCCCCCGTGGTGCCACAACAGTGGAGTGACCTTGTCACCAGGGTGCCATGTGTCACAGTGGGGGGACCCAGAGGGAGAGGATCAGGGTTAACAGATCATCTCCCTGCATGCATGGTACCCGTGCCCTACCCTGCCTGCTCCCACCACGGGCTCGGCAGCAGAGAGGCAGATGCAGGGAGAGCAGCAGCTCTGGGCTCCGGAGAACATGACTCCAATTAAGCTGTGGAGGCCGGCTCACGCTCCACTGCCTCAGCCCAGTCGTCGCCCAGTCGTCGTACGCAGGAAGACACACAGTCAAAGGAGGGAAATGAACTCTGTCAGCATAGTCAGGATCGTCACAGAGAGAGTTAGACTCAAACAAACAATTTGTACCAGATAAGGACTTGCTAACGTCCAGCATGAAACCACAGATTGAAACAGATTGAAAATAGTTTTCCTGAAATAATAGTAAAACTAAACTGCAAAGAAAGAGCAATGATAGCTTGTTTCCTGTTTTTAGAGGCATGTAGAAAAAATGCAGAGTTAAGCACACAGTAATAGATGAGAGGGATTGAGAGGCCTCGTTTTCCCCTGTGATTAAAAATGTATGTTGCCACACGCAGCCTTTGGTGTGGAACTCTCCTGGAAAAGGAGCTGGTTAATATTCAGGCCCATGTCTGGCTAATGTCTTAAAGTGATAAATAGGAGGGGGTTGCTGCCGTTTGATTGTTCTTCACAGGCAGTCTGGGAGCAGCAGCACAGGGGGATTTAAGGTGGAGGAATCCTCTCAAAGCTCCTCATTCATTCACTCTCAGACGCCCCATCATTAATTGGGCCTGTCGACATGACTCCTCTGTACCCAGGGCCACTGGCAGCTACCGTGGTGGATGAGCTTTTTAAGACAGTTCAAAAGAGTCCTTGCCTCATGAAAGGCATTCAAATTACATGAAATTGCATTCATGTCAAGCCTTGCAGGCATATTCATACAGTACACCAGCATAATGTCTTGTTCCGTGCCCCGCATATCTGTGTGGCTATATAATCGTCCTCTTGGGAGCGAATCACATTATAAAGAGTATGATTTAAAAACTATTAACACATTATGTTTCATTTTTAAACTGACTGTCTGCATAAAGAGAGTAAATAAAGCACTGTAACATGCTTAGAAAGTACATTTTACTTCCCTGTGTAGTAAATAATGGAATCTTAACTTATTTAAGGTTTTTTTTCAAAGGGAGATGCTGTTAATTATTACTGCATTTTAGAGTCATTGTAGAATATTGGGAGCTGCTTGGCATGTTGGTTGAATCATTCCAATGTAGCCCAGATGTATCTGTCCTTTTACTTCTGGCAATTGCAACAAAAAAAAAAAAAAACTTTCCCAACTGAAATGCTAATGGAACTTCTAAATGTGTAGCTGCACTATAATACATGTAGCTGTTATCCCTTTGGCACAGTTTCCACTTTGACACTTATCTCCCTTCTCGGTGTAAGTAGAGCTATGCAGGACAAGGTGAGTCCAGCCTTCAAAACTTTATGATTTCTACTGATGTACAGTTGGAAGGTGATCGCAGAAGGTGGCCAGATTTGGTTCATGATGTCAACCGTGTGATACTTTAGTATTTATAACCATTAGGGGGCTGTATATATGTCATAAAATACAGCAGGCCCTTTTTCAGCGTGGCCATTGGCCTACTTCACTCCCATTCTTGCCCGACTGTTTCCTTCATATCAGGACTGATAACCACAAGTCAAGGAGGGACAGTTTAACCCTTAGATGCCGCAGGGGGATCTTCATTCGTTTTTATGTTTGGAAATGTTTGGGATTTGAAGGCAGTGCATAGGAACAAAGTATCGATGTGTAATTAACAGCTACTACAGATGTTTACTGCCGAAAGTCCCTGATATCAGGCCACACTGGCTCATTGGAACAAAGTTGTCAAATGTTTAGCGGCAGCTCTGGGCTGCATTCAATGGTCTGTATTTGTTTTCTCACACAGCTTCCAGTTAGGACCACCGAGGATGTTTTTCTTTTAGTCAAACCTCCTCTTGCGTGTGAGTGTACACTTTTCCGCACCACTGAAGAGTTTG